TAAATCAAAAAATCAGCCGAGCGTGGTAGCACATGTCTGTAATTCCGGTTACTTGGAAGGCTGAGGCGGAAGGATCGCCAGAGCCCAGCAGGTTGGGGCTGCGGTGGCCGGGAGTGGCCACTGCACTCCAGTCTGGGCAACAGAGTGAGACTCCAACTCAAAAAAAAAAAAAAAAAAAAGCTTTCAAAACTGTTGGGTGGATGCCATCTCATTTCAATGAAATAGGTAAATTGTTCATTTAGGTCTAAAACACTGCTTCCTTTATCTAGTAGACATGACCTGCCTAAAATAGATCATATCTCACCTGATCCAAATGCTCCTCCACTCATGATGGAATTACATCCTGATAAACCCATCATAAGTTGAAAATATCCTAAGCTAGGTCGAATGTGGTGGCTCACGTCTATAATTCCAGCAGATTGGGAGGCAGAGATGAGAGGACTACCTGAGCCCCTCGGTTCAAGACCAGCCTGGGCAACTTGGTGAGATCTCATCTTTACAATAAATAATAATTTTAAAAAGTAGCCAGGTATGGTGGCTCATGCCTGTAGTTCCAGCTACTTGGAAGGCTGAGGCGAAAGGATCACCTGAGCCCAGGAGGTTGAGGCTGTGGTGGCCATGAGCATGCCACTGCCCTCCAGCCTGGGTGACAGAGTGAGACTCCAACTCCAAAAAAAAAAAAAGAAAAAAGAAAATATCCTAAGCTGAAAATGCATTTAATACACCTACTCCAGTGAACACCATAGACTAGCCTAGGCTACCTTAAATGTGCTCAGAACACTTACGTTTGCCTATAACTGGCCAAAATCATCTAACATGGGTGGTTTCTCTTGCCCATGCCAGATCTGGCATGTCTCCCCTTCTTTCCTATTTTCTTTCTCTAATAAACTTTGTTTTGAAACTTTGAAAAAAAAAATCATCCAGTCAGGCGTGGTGGCTCATGCCTGTAATCCCAGCATTTTAGGAAGCAGAGGCGAGAGGATTGCCTGAGTCCACGGGTTCGAAACCAACCTGTGCCACATGACAAGACTTCGTCTCTACAATAAATTAAAAAATTAGCTGGGCATGGCGGTGCATGCCTGTAGTTCCAGCTACTTGGAAGGCTGAAGTAGAAAAAGGATTGCCTGATTCCAGCAGGTCGAGGCTGTAATGGCCATGAGCATGCCACTGTACTCTAGCCTGGGCACTAGAGTGAGACTTCGACTCAAAACATCTAACACGAAGCCTATTATATAATAAAATGTTGAACACCTAACATTTATTGAGTACTGCAGTGAAAATGAAAAACAGAATGGTTTTATGGATACTTGAGGTATAGTTTCTTTTTGAGTCAGGGTCTCACTCTATCACCCAGGCTTGATCATGGCTCACTGCAGTCTTGACCCTCTGGGCACAGCAGATTTATTGTAGAGGATTTTATTGTAGAGGATTGTCTCTACAACTAATCAAAAAATTAGCCAGGTGTGGTGGTGTGTGCCTATAGTTCCAGCGACTTGGAAGGCTGAGGTGAAAGGATCACCTGAGTCCAGCAGGTGGAGGCTGTGGTAGCTGTGAGCATGCCACTGCACTCCATCCTGGCAACAGAGTAAGACTCCAACTCCAACTTCAAAACAAAAACAAAAACAAAAAAAAACACCAGAAAAAAATTGTTAAGCTGAACTAAGTTGGGGACTATCTGTACATTGAGAAGGAACATTTTTTTTTTTTTTGAGTTGGAGTCTCACTCTGTCACCCAAGTTGGAGTACAATGGCACACTCATGGCCACCGCAGCCTCGACCTGCTGGGCTCAGGTGATCTTTCCGCCTCAGCCTTCCGAGTAGCCGGAATTACAGGCATGCGCTACCACACCCGGCTGATTTTTTGATTTATTGTAGAGATGAGGTCTCGCTGCCCAGGCGGGTCTCGAACCCGCGGGCTCAGGCAATCCACTCACCTCAGCCTCCCAAAGGCACGGGATTACAGGCTGAACCACCGAGCCCGGCTTTTTTTTTTTTTTTTTTTTTGAGTAGACGTCTCACTCTGTCGCCCAGACTGGAGTGCAGTGGCCACTCCCGGCCACCATAGCCTTGACCCGCTGGGCTCCGGTGATCCTTCCATCTCAGCCTTCCAAGTAGCTGTAACTACAGGAGCGCACTACCACACCCGGCTAATTTTTTGATTTATTGTAGAGATGAGGACTTGCCAAGTTGCCCAGGCGGGTCTTGAACCCACAGGCTCAGGCAATCCACTCACCTCAGCCTCCCAAAGCGCGGGATTACAGGCTGAGCCACTGAGCCCGGCTTTAATTTATCTTTAAACTTCCTTTCCTTCTGAGCCTTCCTCTTAGTCTCTATTACTCAATCCCTGTTTTCTAGGCCTTTCTCAAGCCTATTTCAAGTCATGCTATGTTGCCCAGGCTGTTTTTGAAGTCTTGGCCTTGGCCTCCCAAAGTGCTGGGATTACAGGCGTGAGCCACCACGCCCATCCTCTGAAGTAAGGTTTCTCCTGAATGAGTACAGCTTTCATACTATCTTAAGGTAAAAAATATAGCCAGGTACAGCTAATGAAACATCTCTCTAGCTCCCATACTCACCCGATCACGTCCACCCTTAGCTAGCGAGACATTGGCAACAGGGAAGGAACAGAGTGAGGTGATGGAGGTATCACAGTCGGTCCTAAATGAGAATGGGGAATGATACTCTGCTAAGTTATGAAGTCTGTTTTATCCATCTACCCACACACCTTCTTGCCCCCTTAGGCTCCCTCCAGCCCACATTCCTTCTCTCCAAACAAGCATCCTTCTCTCTGTTACAAAGAAAGGTGGATAACAAATGTGACCAGGAGACTCAAGATACCAGAATGATCATTTCATTCTCTTCCTGCAACTTCAATTTATCGCCTCTCATTAGAGCAGAAGTTCTTAGATGGGATCTACGGACACTTAAATAATTTTACACTTTAGTATTTCTAAAGACTTACTTGAGGAGCTTAATAAAGATGTAGATTCCAGGGTCCTACCAAGAAATTCTGATTCGGGAGCTCTGGTCTGAAGCATAGTTTGGGAAAACTCCCAAAAGATCCACAGATGGTCATTAAGTGACTCATGAACTCCCTTAAATTATAAGCAAAATTGCATGTGGAGATATGTGTACAGCACATGCCTGGCCATGTATATACATTTTTATGGCAGGAAGGGCCATAGCTTTTATAAGATCCATGTCTCCTGAAAGTTTAAGAAACTCTACTTGAGAAACTACAACCTGTGACAAGGAACTTAAGGGGAAAAAAAAGACTTCTTTGATAATTATGCCCTTATCTGTATTTGTTGATTAGTCCTACAACCATTGTCAAGAAGCAAGAATTTGGCAGGGTTTGTAAATTGGGAAGGAACTAAGGGGTCAGGCAAGATACAGGACTCTAGGAGGCAAGTTTATGCACCTAGTCACCTTGTTTCCATAATCTCTATTGTGCAGTAGACTTTTGTAGGTGGGAGGTAGCAAGGTAAAAGGCAAACTGCTGCTTTCCTAATACCTCCTCGAGTTGACCTAAGGAGTTTGGTTGGCTCAAAATTCTTTAGTGGCCCTGAGAATTCTGACCCAACCTAGAACTGACCCTCATAGTCCAGGTCAGGCACAGTGGGTGGCTCATGCCTGTAATCCCAAGACTTTGGGAGGCAGAGGCGAGAGGATTGCCTGAGCCCATGAGTTCCAGACCAGCCTGGGCAACTTGGCAAGACCTTGTCTCTAATAATAAATCAAAAAATTAATCAGGCATGGTGACATGTGCCTGTAGTCCCAGCTACTTGGCAGCCTGAGGTGGAAGGATCGCCTGAGCCCAGCAGTGGCTGTCAGCATGCCACTGCACCCAAGTCTGGGCAACAAAAAAGATAGTCTAGATGTGGATTTTTTTTTTTTTTCATTTTTTTTAAAAACTAGAATTCAGTAGCCAGCCCAGGACAGCTCCAGCCTTGAGCTGTAGAAGGTGAGAAGTCCTGTAAACACACCAGGCTCCAGTGTCCTCATTTGTAATTCAGGGGATTGAACTCTCTAAGGGCCCTAGAGCAATTCGTTTTTTTTTTTAAAGCAGTATTGAGAGGACAGGAAAGCTCCCATAGTGGGAGCAGACCCAAAGGGATTGCCCTAGAGCAATTCTTACAGGGCTCTCCTCTACCATGATAGAAGGTTCCTCTCACCTGTAGTAGAAATGCACGGGGCTGAGGTGGCTGACTGGTGGCATGTAAGAATAGTAGAAGGAGCCATAGAGAAAGACAGACACCCAGAGCAGGAGTAGGATGCTGCAGAAGAGTACCCCAAACTGCAGCAGCAGCCTGCGGGCACGGCCTGCCAACACCTGGCCCACCTCCTGGGCCCAGAGTAAGGCCGGTACTGGTGGATCATTGACCATGGCGGGGAGGGCAGAGGGTCTGGCCCCGGGTTCAGGCCTTGCGTTCCTAGTTCCTCTGCCACCGGGACGCCACCCCTGGCCATGGGATGAGGCAACTGCTGGTGTTTCCTGGAAAGAAAAGAGGGTAGTAAGAGTGGCTTCTTTCCCCAGGGAGGTGGGGACAAAAAAGACAAGCTTACTGGACTGGCCTTGAGGAACCAGAAATGGATGGACAAAGCAAAGTCATCGTTTCATATGGCCTTTCTCCAAATGACTATGTTTCTCAGCCAATTATCCTTCCCTTTCCTCTGTGGTCCCTTCGACCCCAGCGCCAGAGCGCCTCAGTTAACCCCTGTCATTCACCTGGTTCTGGGACAAACCACCTTGATACTCATTCGTAGCAACAGATAACAAAGAAAGAGCACCCTACAATGATTACAAAACGCTTTCACACACACGAGGGCACTGAATCCACACTGCCAGGCGGCTGCCGGAGAGGACGCGCGACTTGCCTAAGGTCGCACAGCCCGACTCAAAGCTAGCATAGCAGCCTAAGAGCAGTCACAGTTGACTCCCGAGTTTATCCCTCTCCGCCTTGAGCCTCGCTCGCTCCCGATGGAGCCGCAGCTCACGCTAGGCAAAGGGTCCTGTAGGCCACGGCTGCTGCCCGCCGGCACCCCCGGCTCGGCAGCGGGCGCGGCGCCCGGAGCCCCAGCTTAATCGCGCCATGGAAACCAGCCTGCCGGCCGCCAGAACTCCACAGACTCACCAGCCTCGCGCGCTGCCAGGGCAACGGCGAGGGGAGACTTCCGGCTCCCGGGCAAGTCCCGCGCCTCTCCGGAGGCCGCCTTTGTAGCTGTGGGGGCGGGGCCTCGCCCGGGGGCGGGGCCGCGAGGCTCCCACCCCCTCGCGCTCGCAACCGGCCCTCCCTGCGGCCCGTGGCCCTCGGGTTATCGTGACCAAAGGGGAAAGGCGCCTCCCTGCAGGCCGCAAGCTACGTCCCACTGCGTGCTCGGACTGCGGCGTCTGCTCGGCCCTCCCCTCAAGGCGACAATCACTGCCCTCAGTCCACACCTTCGCCCCGACCACTTAACCCCGGAAACAGGGCGTGAAGCGGCATCCCGCTGGCGCTGATTTTCATCGTCCACAGCTCCTAGGACCTGTAGGCGTCTAAGGCGGGGGGCATTAGCGCTAGCCCAGACTCAGGATGCCCAGAGAATGTTCCAGTCTGCGGAGGCCTGTGCCTCGCGCGTTGCGCAGTCGGGGTGAAGTCCCCTATTCACGAGTGTGGTAGCATTTCAGCTCCGCTTTTTGTCGCCCTCCTCTGACTCTAAGTGGACGCGCTCTCTCAGAGTCCACAGCACATTATCTAGACTAGGTCTTGGCAGGTGGCATCTTCTATTTTGTGTATCACCCCAGATAAGGTCCTTCAGAGAGCAAGACCAGTGTTGTGTACATCTTCGCACAACGCTGCAGGCATGGGAGGTAATCTATTAAAAACCTATGCAGTTCTTCAATCCAGTACCTCCCTTCCTCTCTCCCCCTGGAAGCCCACCTATTTCCAGAATATTCCGCGACTCTCCCCATAAGGCCCCCTACCTCCTCTTTGTCCGATCCTTTGGTCTGGTGTCCACATACCTCTTTTTCCCCAGCTTCTCCTCTTTGGTCTGCCATTTCTTTAGACATCTTCCCGATGACAAGCTTCTGCTAGCCTGAATCTTCCACTCAAGACACTTGTGAAGTGGTGATCTAGAAGCTGATAGATACCTGTAGCGCATCACATTTTCCTGGATAGGGGAATGGAGGATGCCTGGGAGAGAAACGAGGATTCAGATGCTAAGTGCTGTGTCAGGATAGAGGGAGGAAGGGAAGAGGGGGGCGACGGCCCAGCTGATGTCAGATTTTCAAATGAGCAGGGTCCCCCGCAGCCAGTACAGACTCCACTGCAGGGGCTGTCACAGGCCCAGACCACCCCATTTGAAGGGGGGAATCTGCCTTGGCCTCAGCTCCGTTGGGGAGGGCTCTAGCCCAGACTTAGAATGCCTGCAAAGGGGGGAGGGGCAGGTAGTGAGGCAGTGACAGTAGGGGTGTGTGTAGGGGATGCAGGCAGCAGCCTGGCTCCCCTGCTGGCCAGGCAGTTGGTATGTTCCGGGATCTGAGCAGCTCCTTCTAGCATCCTTCATCCTTCAGGTACCAGCCATCCAAGGCAGTCCTTGAGCTGCAGAATCTGAGACCACCCCTTCACAGACCTCTGGCCTGACCCTCCCCAGTGGCCTTGTCTGTATTAGCTGCTTCTGTGTAAAATACTTCCAGTTGCAACTCCCTGCAGAGTGGGGCACCCATCTTAGGCAGAAGGTTTGGTGCCCCCCCCACCCTACACCCCAGGGCTGCTGCTGCTGTCGCCTGTCACTTCAGGTGAGTAGGGAGCAGCCTGTTTTGCTTCCATTGGGACTCATGGGGGTAGATAGGGGTGGTGTGCCCTCCTCATCAGGGTGGGGCTCTTTCTGGTTGAGGCTTTCAGATAGGAACACCCATGGCTGGAAGGGCTGAAGAGCCTCCAATCATTTGTATGTTTAATGATCTGTGGCCCAGGCCATGTGGGGGTTTGGGGAGCATGTCATCCCACTCTATTTTTCCATGAGGAAGCTAGGGATGGGGCAGGTCACTGGGAGAGGGTGAGGATAGGAGGGGAACGAAATATTGGGGCATGACCATGCCTTGTAAAGATTGGAGAGGAGTGAGCATGGAAGGGGGCCTTCGGCTGAGACTGTGCTCTCAGCCGTCCCTCTTTTTTCTTTCTCCAGGATGAAAGGGGAGACGCCTGTGAACAGCACTATGAGTATTGGGCAAGCACGCAAGATGGTGGAACAGCTTAAGATTGAAGCCAGCTTGTGCCGGATAAAGGTGGGTGGGACCCTGACTGGCTCCTATTAGTTGGCCAGGGCCTGCTGTGCTCTAAGTTCCCAAAACTCTGGATAAGAGATGCTTTCTTTCCTTGACTCCTTGAGTCAGGGAGAGGAACCTGGGGCTGTGCTAGGAGAGCTGTCCCCAGGCCTCTGTGGGGGATGAGAGAGAAGACTGTCTCAAGGATCCCTGGAGATGGCAAAAGATAACCCATTTGGGGACGGAGGCTGCAGTCCCTTTCAGGGGTCCTAGCTAACAACCCTCCTCCTGGCTGTGCCCCAGGTGTCCAAGGCAGCGGCAGACCTGATGACTTACTGTGATGCCCACGCCTGTGAGGATCCCCTCATCACCCCTGTGCCCACTTCGGAGAACCCCTTCCGGGAGAAGAAGTTCTTCTGTGCCCTCCTCTGAGCTGCCCTGTCCCTCCTAACTCCTCACCTTTCCCTCTCCTGGGCCCTTCCTTAGGTCAGTAACTGCGGTGAGCCCCAGGCTCCCTGCATCCCATTCCTCACCCTTGCCCAGCCATGCGAGGTTATCTAAAGCACAAGGCCCTCCCTCACCATCCGGCGACCCCATTTCATTTCCTCGCCCTCTGTGGCCGACCCCAAGCACCCGTGATACGGGCACCCTTCGCTCCATGCACACAAGGGCCCCCGTCAGACTCTGCCAGCGTCCTGCCCGCTTCCCTCTGTGACCGCTCAGACAATGGAGGGAGGGATGGGCCGGGTGCTTGCTGTCTCACCTGGAGCTACTGGAAGGGTAAAGCCATTTGACGAATAAAGTCATCCAGAGCCTCAGAGGACAGCTCCTGTGTTAGCGTTCTTGGGACACAGGACCATCGGGCAATAGATTTGCCATACCCAGGGAAAAGGGCCAGTCAAAGCAGGTTAGATGTTGTCGAGGATCGGACATCGGCGGGGCCGCGGCAGAGTCGGGGCCGGGGCGAGGAGGGAGCGGGCGGGCGCGAGAGAGCGTCCCCGGGGGAAGAATTAAGTCACAACAGACACTCAGGCTGAGGAGAGCATACACACAGACAAACGCGCAATGAAGGCGAGTGAAAAGGAAAACAGACCGCAGAGGGTGGATTTAAGGGAGGGTGAGGGAAGACAGTCGCGGAGCGAAGGGGCGGAGCTTGGGCCCAATTACCGCGACTGGGGCCGTTTTGCCTAAGATGGCTGCGCCCGTGGCCGCTCCCCTTCCAAGATGGCCGCGCCAACATGGCGGCCCCCATATCACGGCGTTTAAGGGTACAGGGCTCCTCTTAAAATGGCGGCCCCATGCAGCCAGCGTTCCCAATATGGTCCCTTCCGTGCTCGTCTGTCTCAAAATGGCTGCCCCTTCCCTCGCCAAGTCCGGGCCCGAGCCCCGCCACCCTGGAGTGTGGAATTCGACGTCCTTCCCGTCGAGCCGAAGACACCCGGGCTGCTATCACGAAGGACCATGGGACACGGGGTCCCCAGGAAGCACAGCGTGGCCGGCGCCTATCGCGAGGATCTTGCGAGGAAACCTAGGTTTTTACGTCTTGCCAAGGAGAGACTCCCTTTGGAGAGGAAATAAAAGCAGGGATGGGGAGAGTCACCGCCCGGCACCATCCATCGTGGGGCGTTCTTTTTCAGTCGCTTCTTGGTTTCCCCAGGAGCTGGGTGAACGCGAAATTGTTCTGTTTGCATTTCCTGGTTGAACTGGGCATGCTTTGCTTTGCTTTCAATTTCCCCTCAGGCCAATTCAGCCCATCTGCCAGAAAGCAGCGTCCCCATCCCAGGTGTGCCTATCACCCCTTGCAGGAGTCCAGCTTTCTGCCTGTTCAGAAAACCAAACTTAAGGCTTAATGTATCACGTGCGTCTCCAAGACCCAAACGTGACGGAGCTTTACAAGCTCCAGAATGCGCCTAGAATCCCTTTTCTTCCAAGGATGCACATAGCTGAGGTAGGACCAGGGTCAAGGCAGAGAACGTAACAATTCTCGTATGTCTGCTTCTCATGGATCGTCAAGATCCTCTCAAGTCAGCGACACAACCTTCCCAGAAGCCTAGGCTACTCTTGTTTTTTGCTTGGTTACATATGGGAGAAGGGGGACTGCCTTGCAATAGTGGGACCTATATTAGGGACAGCCCATCATCTCCAGCTTCTGCACACTGACACAGGAAGACAGCAAGGGGAGAGAGAGTGCAGTGAGGAAACCAAAGGAATAAAGGGTTTTACTAGCAACTAAACTTAGCCTCCTATGGATGTCTTCAGGGACTCCGGGGATACCCAATAAACTTGAGACACCTTCAGGAAAACAGCTTCTCATTGTTGGTGGAATTTCTGAACCCTAACAGGACCTGGAGATTAAGTAGTTTTCTCATCCTAGAGATGAAGAAACAAGTAACCTGTTGCTCTCCTGAGTGAGCCTACCCCCATTCTGTCCAGGTACCTACTTAGTTCTATCCTTGGTACTCCAGGAGGGCTCAGATCTGTTTTTGTTTTTGTTTGAATTGGAGTCTCACTCCGTCGCCCGGACTGGAGTACCACCCAGTCCTCCCGGCCACCGCAGCCTCGTCCTGCTGGACTCCGGCAATCATTCTGCCTCAGCCTTCCAAGTAGCCAGAATTACAGGTGCGGGCTACCACGCCCTGCTAGTTTTTGATTTATTATAGAGACAAGGTCTCGCCAAGTCGCCCAGGCAGGTCTTGAACTCGCGGGCTCAGGCAATCCACTCACCTCGGCCTCCCAAAGTGCTGGGGTTACAGGCTGAGCCACCGAGTCTGGCCTCAGGTCTGTTTTAATCCCTGTATCCTGACTGGCACATAGCAGGCACTAAAATACCTAATGAATAGATTGTGGTGTACATGCTTAAATGGCAAGCAGGGCATGGCAGGGACCAAGAAACATTTTTTTTCCTACTGCATTACAGTGTTAGATGAGTACCAGGGGACTAAGTGAAAACTTCCTCATCAGATCAGACTTGGTAAAAAGTCATAAGTGCTCAATAAATGTAATTTTGATATTAGGTTAAAGAAGTCTCTACTCAATTTTTCTACACATTTAATTTTCTTTTTTTGTCAGTCTCACTCTGTCACCCATGCTGGAGTGCAGTGACATGCTGCTCACAGCCAACACAGCCTCGACTTGCTGGGCTCCGGCGATCCTCCCACCTCAGCCTTCCTAGTAGCCGGAACTACAGGTGCACGCTACCACGCCCGGCTGATTTCTTGATTTCTTGAAGAAACGAGATCTCACCATGGTGCTCAGGCTGGTCTCGAACCTGCTGGTTCAGGCAATCCACTCACCTCGGCCTCCCAAAGTGCTGGGATTACAGGCTGTGCCACGAATCCTGGCCTACATTCAATTTTCATACCCATCAAATTATGGATGAGTGGCTACAGCTCTAGTTGGGGGAAAACGGGACTTAGCTGCTATTACAGACAAGGCATAAGTTATAAATAACCATTAAAACTATTAATTAGCTCTAACACTAACTTTATTTGTTCAAGTTGAGTCGGAGTCTCACTCTGTTGCTCAGGCTGAAGTGCAGTGGCATACTCACGGTCACTGCAGTCTCAACCTGCTGAGCTCAGGTGGTCCTTCCACCTCAGCCTTCCAAGCAGCTGGAACCACAGGCATGTGCCACCAAGCCTGGCTAATTTATTTATTTATTTCTAATAAATGGTCAGGGTTCCATTGTTCTAAAGGGGTAGTGGTATATTGAGGTAGAGACTGCTCAAATTCATCCCCTCTGTAATTAAGGTTCAGATTCCAGGGGCTTACAGATTTGTACCCTAAAGGCCATCCTTGATTTTGGTGGGTGCCTATTATTCTCTCTGACATTTAACGTGTTAGCCAGGCGCAGTGGCTCAAGCCTGTAATCCCAGCACTTTGAGAGGCGAGAGGATTACTTGAGCCCAGGGGTTCGAGACCTCGTCTCTACAATAAATCAAAAAGTTAGCTGGGTATGGTGCGCATGCCTGTAGTTCCAACTACTTACTTGGAAGGCTGAAGTGGAGGAATCACCTGAGCCCAGCAGGTCGAGGCTGCAGTGGCTGTGAGCATACCACTGCACTCCAGCCTGGGTAACAGAGTGAGACTCCAACTCGGAAAAAAAAAAAAAAAAAAAAGTCCCCACCAAATATCTTCTGGGATTTTCTTCCCAAATGGTGAATTAAATTACTCATGAATAAACTTAATGGCTCCATAAATGGAACCTTTCATTTAACTTTAAGCATCCAACTGATTTTAGTATAGGCCAAATACAGAAAGATCATGAGTTATAATTTTCTTCTTCAATGGCTCAAGCTCTTAGCCTAAGTAAGCACTAATTAGACTAACAACCACTCCCTCCTTGCCAAGTGAATGCATTGCTGGCCCCCAAGTGAAGGCGTGGAGAATAAAGAAGGGAATAGCAGCCACCATGCAAGAAGACAGCCATCCTTGGTTGGAGCCAGTGCAACTTGAGAAAGAAGCATTTAAAAATAAATAAATAACCCAATGACACACTCCACCCCAGTCAGTGCAGCCACAGGAGATAGGGTGAATTCAATCCAAATGGTTATTTATTCTAAAACTGGAAGCTACGGTGCCTACATTGTCGCCAGAATGTTGTAATGAGAACAGGGGAGGAAAAAGTTACAGATGTAAACAATGACACAGTTACATTTTTTTTTTTTTAAATGGTAAAACCCTTTTTTACTGGCCACTTCCAAGAATGCTTTACAGGTTGTGCAAAAACATTTACAGGCTCCATGTGGTGTTTGTTTTTCTCACAAGCTTTTCCATCTATAACTACAACAGACATCTGATAAAACACTAAACAAGTCTAAGAAAAACAAGGCTAGGGATTCCTCCTGTTACCATAATCGACATTTTTCCCCCTTAACATAGTTTTTTCATAATAAAAGACAGACAGAAACAAAGCCCAGACATCTACTGTTGTTGTGAGTGGTCTCTTGGACTAACCCAACAAAGATGTGGCAGTTTCACTCTCTACCCACCTAGAAAAACAGCTTTTCTAAAAAAGGTGACTTTCTAGTGTCAAATAGCAACAGCAAGTACCTCCCTAACCCCTGGGCAGGAAGAGGAGGGAAACCCAAAGCTGTTTAGGCTTTGCCTCCCCACCCCCAACCCTTGAGGGCCCTAGTATCCCCATCCATTTCATAGACTATTAAAAGATACTACTGCTGGAGGACTAAACATCTGAAAGGGGGTGGCAGCCTCTGCCTTGGAAAATTCAGTTTTCTATTATAATCTTGCCTTAAGGGAATTTCTTTGGGCTCCAATTTTTACTTCCTTGCCTTGACACTACAAGCAAAGCTTTCTCTAACTCCCTTAATAATAATAATAAACAGTTAGTGGGTTACAAAAATTGCATGCAATCACTTCACCCACTGCCACACACAAATTCATTTGAGGGCACCACAGGGAAGGAGGGGCCAAGACAAAGGGCATCACATTATGAGCAAGCAAACTTATCTTCTACCAGCCCCCTGTTCCAGCCTTGGGGTCAGAGGTACTTGGGCAGAACAGTATGTCAAGACAGACAGGGACACTAGAGGGCCAGAATAAGGGTTTGCACACCTTAAGAAGGGCTGCATGGCAGTAACAGTGGGAGAGAAAGATCAAATCTCAGCACAAAATATTAAACAGAGAACTGCCCAGGTGAGGAAATGGAGGTGAAGCATTTTCTAGTAGCACAGCCCAGAGTATTCTCCCACTAGGAAGTGCTACAATAGGTGGTGTTTGCTGAGTAAGCTCTTGGCTGACACAGTGCTGAGCAGGAAGATGAATTAAAACTGAGGCTAAACATTGAAAGAGCATTCCTATATCCCACCCATATTCTTGAACCCAGCAACCTGCAGCTGTCTGTCAAGAACTGGGAGGGTGTTGGTAAAATTACAAACAAAACTATCCCAACTGAAGTCTCTGGGCTAGAGGCCTCTCTGGGGACACGCAAGAAAAGCATCCAAAAGGAATCCTGTTTCAAGAAGTCAGAAAGGGGTGCTCCCTTTCATGCGCACATTTACATACGTTCACACTCACACTCTTCCCAAGTTTCAGCAGCCCCACTGAGCTGCCTCCCACCCCCCCCTCCCCTTTTCTATTCACTCTCTACCTGTGTATCAAAAAACCAGCAGGGCATGAGCCCTCCACACTGTATAAAATAGTTGCTATTCTCAGCACCTGGGCCTGGTAGCCCACACCACAGGATTCACCTATATACATATCCCGCTGCAGTGAAAAGAATCCTGCTGCGTTTCTGTGAGCTGAAACCCTGAGAAACGTTCCTTCTCGTGCACTGTAAGAGGACAGACTCTAACAGAGATGATTTCAGAGACCTCCCGCCTCTCAACCTTGGAAGACAGAGACTAGAGACTGGCAAATCACAATCTTCAGGCTGAGGGCTGCGATCCCATTCTCTCCAGGATTTTATGGGAATTCATCAATGCGTAGAGGGGGCAAGCTATTCTGCTCTGCAATCAAGAAGTCTCCATGCCTCCTTGGCCTGGGAATCCTATATAATAGAACCACCCAACTGGCAGTCTCCATGCCTCAGTCAAACAGCACGAAGGCACAGGAAAGTGGAGACTGGGACACTGTGGCCTCCCAGCCCACCAGACCAGATATCCCAAGAGGGAAAGGTCGGTAAAGAAAATACAAACGGTTAGTTGGTGCAAGTGATAGATAAGAGCCAATCGTTTATTTTCACTGTCCCAGTCACAAGCTCTCCCTCTGTCCCCATTCCTGCCTGCTCCTACCTACTATGGAGAGCACCCTCACACTGCTCCCCATCCTCCCCACACTACCACATTACTCTCCTATACTTGGCTGCCAGTCCAGCTGCCTTAGAATGTCAGAAGGGTGTCATTTTCAGTTTTCCTGTCCAACTGCAGGGTAAAGAACAGGCAGCCCTAAGTGCTGCTTTCTGCGCAAATGTTTTTTGATTACAAATATCTAACTAGGTTTGAAATGTTTTATAGAATAAGACAATATTCTTTTCAACAAACTTTAAAAAAAATGTACAGTTTCGTTGTTTGTTTCCGCCTCCCCCCTCCCCCAC